GTATTAGTCATTTTCAAATATACTTTTGCATTGTACACTTTTATATACACTTGTTCACACATTTCGTACACTACGTACCCTTTTACTCTCACACTTGTGTGATAGTCATTTTTTTCCTTATTTGGAAAATACAAGTATCATCGTGAACGAGCTGGTCTTCTGATTTTCCTCTTTCCGCGTCACGACTATTAAACCACTCGACGAGTTTATAACAGAAAATTGGCGACGGGGAAAGCTATGGACTCTGCAAAATTGGAATTACTATTTGAGCAACAAATATCTGTCTGTCTGCCTGGATTCAACATAGAACTTGGCACCGAAGTGCAGAGTTCGAGTTGCCACGTTCCAAATATCACACAAAGGTAGACAAGAAGATAAGTGAAGAGAATCAATAGAGTTTCACAAGTATAAGAGTGAAACAGAATGGGTAATGGTAGAAAGGAATATGAAAGATTAAAGAGGCTGAATACATCTGCGCTGGCCATTGACAACGATTTTGAGCCATGTCACCTATCGTCTCCGGCCATTGATTCCTAGAGTCCCAAGGGCCCCAACCCGGGAGTCTGCATCTGCCCACCTGACCGACTCAGTTTAACTGTCAAGGATTTCATGGATTGATGAGGCCATGTTTTTTTTGGCCACCACTTAATCTTTTCCAACCTGAACCTATATCAGCTAGTAATGCCCGTCGTCGGGGGAGGCGATGGTTAGTCATGCGCACCACGTGACCTAGCCATATCAATCTATGTAACTTTATAGCCTCGTCGATTGATTTTCCCTCTTTGCCCAACACTCTACGCCTAACGTCAACATTACTTACCTTATTATACCACCTAACGTGAGAAAGAGATCGTAGACATCTATGATCGAAAGCAGTCAACCTTTTCATGTCTTCAACTCGTATTGGCCATGTTTCAGAGCCATACAGAAGGACGGAGCGAACTGATGAGCAGTACACGCGTCCCTTGGTTGATAGCCAGCCGGATGTCACGCCTACGCCAGAGATGGTGTAAGTCAGCGAAAGCAGCTCGAGCTTTTTGAATCCGTCCTGAAATTTCGACGCCAATCAGTCCGTTGGTGCTGATACAACTTCCCAAATAGGTGAAGTGGTCAACATGTTCTATCACTTCACTCCCTATCACTAAACTAGGAGTTGACGTAGTCCAGTCCTGTAGCAGCATCTTACATTTTGCAGGGGCGAATCGCATGCCATGGAACCGTCTCTGATTCCCACACTTTGCCTAGTACCTCAGTTAATCTACAAACTAGTATGTCACCCCCATATTTAAACACCTCCGGAATAATTCCGTCGGGTCCTGCCGCTTTGCCTCGTTTCAAATTACAGATAGCTTTTGTGACCTCACTTACAGACGGCGGACCAGTGTCTATATCCCATTCGGGTGTGTGCTGGTTGGCGGGGGAGGTTCAGTGTGGCTGTAGGTAAGTTAAATTGTCCCTCAAAGTGTTCTTTCCAGCGTTCAAGGCGTCTATCCTGTGAGCTAATTAAGGAGCCATTTTCCTCAGAAATAGTCTCACTTATGATTTGCCTTCTCCCACCCGTTTCGCTGATGAGTCTAAAGAGTTGCCTAGTGTTACCTATCGTCGATGCTTTTTCCATCTCTTTCGATTTTGTCAGCCACCACTGTTCACGGTCCTTGCGGAGACTTTTCGTAAGTTTCCTTTTGTGCAGCTTTCGCTCCTCATTGAATTCGGAGCAACAAATGAAATTAATGGAAATGCTCATCGACCAACAGACTGGTTAAGTTTCACCTTCAAGCAATCCCAATCATACCATGCCACCATCTGTCGACGAAATTGTGAATAGTATTACACAATTCAATTATGATCCAGATGCTAATGTCACTTTTGACACATGGTATCAACGCTATGAAGATTTATTCACAGTTGATCTCGCCTCGCAAGACGATGCTTGGAAGGTACGGTTATTGTTACGTAAATTGGGGCCTGCAGAATACGAAAGGTACTGCAACCTAATCTTTCCTCAAAAACCACGTGACAAGTGTTTTGATGACACAATAAAGCTGCTGAGTGAACGTAGGTTTACGCGGAACATTATGAGAAGGTGGGTCAGGACTAGATGATGAAGAGAGATTTTGGCTCTTTCGTAATGCACGAATGTCAGAGATTCTTGAAGTCATCTAGGAGTGAACCGAGAGGAGACCCCATGGCTATCGCAGGATACAGGTAGCTTGAATTAATAGCAGGATTTTGGTGTTAGCAATGACAATTGAGTCAAAAAATTTACAAAAAGTGTAAATCAATGATAATAATGTTAGTGGCTGAAATTTTGAGGTAATTGTGTCATAGTGTCACCATAAATTACAGATAAGTGAGAATAAAAAGGCCAATTTTGTTTTGATAATTACATAACCAGTTGTAAGTTTCACATGTAACACTATACTGATCGCATAGAATGGTGGCCAAATAGGATATCGCTGAGTTCTTGTACTTGACTTTAAAAGCATATGACCCTTTATAATGACTTCTATTCCTACGTGATGAGATGCAAGGCGAGAGTTATGTATGAATAGAGAGAGGGTATTGAGGGTTAGACAATATGGATTTAGACCATTTATATATCACATGAGTTCAGCTGTCGGTCGACTACATTACTAATGAGCTGACTTAGTGACATACTATTTGCCTTACCCGTAACCTTTAATACTCTTAGTAATATATATGACAGAGTCCTCTTTTTCAGTAGCCCATCTAGATATTGCGTCTTACATAAGTGAATTGTTGATTTTACACAGGTTTTCAAGTTGTATCATTAATGCGTAATTCTAAAATAATTTCTATAAATACTAACGAATTGGACCACGACATTTACTGTTTTTTAGGAAGTTCTCTGGGTAAATGTCAATACCTAGAGATGGTGGGTACCGTAGACAAGAAACCTTTGTTAAGTTACAAAGGAGGAATTTTAGCTGATATTCTAAAATGTCGACTTCACAGAGCAGTAAAGAGAACATTTTCTGCAGCTAAACTGGTAATCATCTTCTCAGTTAAACCAGTACTCACACACACAACGAGTCAAGGATAAATGACCAAAGATAGCCTTATCAATATATATGTATCTATGAATTCAACTGCTCTTGTGGAGCTAGTTACATTGGCCGTACTCAAAGGGTTTTATCTATATACGCGCGCGTAAACATGTACCTGTATGGTTGAGTAAAGGGGTAACCAAATGCATAAAAATAGTGCAGTCTTAGCCCACCTGGATACTCGATAAAAACTTGACCAGGAGTTCTCAGTTATTTAACGCGTTCCTACTAATCTATCTATAGCAGCTCGACTATGTATGTCTTTCACCAGTAGCTGAAGCGGTTGCAATTAATACCAAAAGACCAACTTTTCGTATACAGAAGAAGTATGTTCACCTTCTATGTTTACCTTGGCCTACAATAAAGCCAACAAATCCTCCATTAACATTATAAATTCCTATCACAATTTTCTTTTCTTCTTCTATTCCTTTGTTTCACTGACAAACGTTCATTTTCGACTTTTATGATTTCATGACCTTTCTTATGATTTTATAATCTTAGGTTTAAGTAGTGCTTTTATAACTTGTTATCGTATTTACAAAGTCTTGTTCATTCCACTTCACTATATTCATTATTATTATTTGACAATCATTCACCAGTAGTACTTGTAATTTTACACCATATCTTCCTTATTATTTTACAATCATTGTTACTGTCGTTATTTTCAACCTTATGTCTAGACCGCTCCATTCTTTGGTTCATTTTCATATTGTCTCACACACCCTGATTACACTCACTCTCGAAACGTGTATTTTTCTGTTGATTATATATATATATATATACATCATTAAATTAAATTATTTCTCATTGACCATGCATATTAAAAAACTAACTGACTATTGTTTCATCCCACCTTATACTTGCTTCACAATAAACTTTCTTATATGACTCTACTTTGCCTTTATAAGCTGGATATTGTATGCTTAAATTAATGGATTTATAATCGTAGAGCCTGAAGAAGAGTCTACTGGAAACAGTTATTCGCCCTATATTATTTTGTCTATATTGATAATAATGTTATCAGATAGTTGGAGGCAATCGACAAGAAGCCCTGCACCTAGGTTTCGTGCTTGCTGGCATTCACCAGTCAGTCAGCAAGGCGTATCCACCATCTTGAAGGAACTCATGTCCCTTTTGGGATTCTAGCCTGTATCATCACACAGTGGTGCTGTCAGAGACATTACTACTGAGCTAATTAGGCTGACGACTGACCTCTTTTAGGACTGTATTAGACACTTTGATGCTTTCAGTCCTTTGATTGGAGACCAATCGCTAGTCCGACTAGCTCAGTGGAAATGTCTCTGACTGCACCATTGGGTATTCACATGCTCAATTCTGAGAGGGCACACGAGTTCCTTCAAAATGGCGGATACGTCTTACTAACTGGTGAGTGCAAACGAGCACGAAATCTATGTGCAAGGCTTCCTGCCGATTGATATCAACCATCTAATGCAAACAAATTCACAAAGCGCAACGTGATGGCTAGTAGCCACCTAGAACTAGTGGCCACATTCTAAACCTGACTGCTGGAAACAAATGACGGACTAGTTACTAACAACTAGTATCAAATCCCAGTATTGATATTGAAATTATTCATGGTGGTTGTTCGCAGCTGACATCATTATAGCTGTAAATTACTGACACAGCTAAGCACTGACAGCTTAACACTCAAGTTGATTGGCTGTTATAGTGCCGTGTTTTGGAGGCGCATTCTAGTCAAGTTAGAGGAACTCCCACACAAACAAGCATACACCTTTTTCCAATTGTTGACTTAACTACGAGAAAACAAAAAAATTTTATTTTGTATCAATGTATTCAAAAGAGAGAGATTATTTCTAAAAAAAAAATTTAAAAATATAAAATTTAGAGGAAAAGAATGTTGCCATAAACTGCTATAAACAATTAAACACAAAATGTACAAGAAAAAAAAGATCACAGATCACGATCAATAGGTTCAATATAAGAAAACTGTCTCCTCTTGGAATTTGCATCAGTTAAGCTGAAAAAAAGGAAAAAAGAAAAACAAAGATGATATACTTCACTACTAGGCAGAGTATATATAATGATTGATTTGAAAAGTAGCATCCAGGAAGGTAGTCAAAAACAAACACTTATAATTACAAATAGGGTCATGCTGGAAAAGAACCAGCTAGTGGCGGTCAAACCAAAACATGGCCTCATCAGTCAATGAAATCCACAAAAGTTAGTTTAGGCCAGCCAGCCACCTAGGAAGGTGTGGACTTCCTGACGGGTTGGGGTCCTCGGAACGGTAAAAACCGATGAGGCCAGAGACAATCGGTGATATGGCTCAGTGATGGTTCTCGATGATAGCGCTGAAACTATATTGTTCTTCGTTATTTCTATTCCTTTTGTCTCATATCCCTGTGTACTGTCTCTATTTTTGCATTTTTTTTCTACTTTCTTCTCTTGCTTTGTGAGCTACATGGAGTGTGGCGAGTTGAACTGCCGCACATTTGTGCAAAGTTCTATGTCGAAAACAGACAGACAATTACACACAAGTTGTTTGATGCATATCGTCAGCAGAAACGAACCTAATCAAAACTGAAGCACTGAATACTTGAATACATGTGCACACTGTATGAGGCGTCACTCGGTACCCATATCGTACCAAGTTTTTGCGGTTGATAGTCATAATACTAATACCACTAATAATAATGATGATTGATATCATTCTGTGGTCATACTTGAAACAGGTGAAATCCTAACAAAAACTAACTTTTCGAAGTGAATAAGATGCTCGTTAGTGACTCACTGCAGGATGGAGTCGCGCCTGGAACTCTCTAGTGAGATGTTGTGACCAGAGAGATTCACCAAGTCAAGTAAAGAACAGAGTTACTTGATGATGATGACATCGGCTGGTGATTGATTGCGCTACAAATCACAAATAGTCAGGAGTTAGAATTTATGAGCCGTTGGATAGGGTCTTAGTGGCTGAATGGTCTATGAACATGACTTGAACCTGGAAGGTTCAAATCTTGGCAGTGGGTGCGTACTGTCGATGAGTACCAAACTAGGACGAAACATCTGATTAGTACTTCCTAGTTTCTCAATACTTTTTTAACTGATATCACCACTCCGTGATCAAACTTGAAACAGAACAAATCCGTATACACTAACTCATTCCTGACCAAGAACTCGAACTTAGGACAAAAGTGGCACTTGAGGACATAACGCTGGGAGTGCAGCTATGCCTGACTTCTACAGTATTTAAATTCCAAGGGAAAATATACAAACAAACTGAGGCAGTTGTCATGGGATCACTAATAACCCCCCTTGTAGCAGATATATTCATCAATAGGTGGGAATACATAGCGATTGAAACGTTCAACCCCACCCCAAAAGTATGGTGGAGGTATGTATATGACACATTCACTGTATTTAGAACATAAGATATAGACAGATTTTTCGAACACATAAACTCGAACGTAGAGGCAATTCAATTCACTCATGAGTTGGAAAGTCAGGAAGGGGAGCTTCCAATGTTAGACTGCAGTGTAAAAAGGAAAGAAGATGGGAAGTTAAACATTAGTGTTTACAGGAAACCCACACATTCAAACAGATATTTGAACTTCCAATCATCCCACCCAATCTATGTCAGTAAATATAGGATTGGTGAAATGTTTAAGTGACAGAGCACAAAAACTAAGTAGTACCAAGGAAAATCTAAGACAGGAAGCGATAAACATAAAAAAAGTTGAGACTTAATAATTACCCGGATAAATTAGTCAGAAAATATGTAAGGAAATGTAAAAATAAAATAAATAGTGACAGTAGCGATAGTGACAATAATAATAATTATTATAATAATAAAGATGATAATAATAATAATGACGACACCAACAATAAGGAATCTAAATCATCAGTAGTAATTCCATGCAAGGAAGGAACCTCGGAAACCTTTACGCAGAATTCTTAACAAGGCAGGAATTAAAGCGGCTGACATTCGAACCAACCACAAACTCAATTAGGAACAAGCTTTGTCGGTTAAAGGATCCTGTGTGTGGAGCCTTTAAAACTAAACAATTCAGTTTATCTAATACCCTGTTTGCAATGATTGTCAGGTCAAATACATAGATCAAACTAGTAGAACAGGGTCAATCAGACTAGCCGAACATAAAACCCGGCAAAATCTAGATTAGTTGACCCGAATGAGATAAAAAATATATAGAGAATAGTTCAGCTATACCACTCACTACATGCAATTGCACACAACCATACAATGTGCTGGATAGGATAAGATGACAGTTTTAAAATCTAATGTCACAGGATGGAGGGAGAGACTGACTAATAACAGAAGTTTTGTTTATCGAATCAACTGAGAGAGAATACGTGTTGTAATAGGAATGATTCATCACCTGTCCCTGATATCTGGAAAATTTTACTTCCCCTACTAAGATAAATAGGAGAAAACAAAGAAAACTATAAAACTCAAGTTTCAAAGTCGTGTGATTACAACTGAATGGTATGATTATGAACAATAAATTGTTCGAAACTGTGTCATCCAGCAAATAATACTGTTTCATCACCGTGTGATATATCTAATAAACAAACTAATATGGAGGTGTAACTACATTTTCATCCCCTTATTTTGAGCGATTCTTCAAAGTTTGGCAATGCCGAATACTACGTTGATTTGTGAACTGGTAGGAGACATTTGAATCCAATTGGTAGAATAATGCCTAGTAATTGAATCGAAGCAGCGAAGACAGGACTTCAAGTAAGCATAAAGGTGAAGATATATTCACCAACGGCGATAACAAGCATCAGTTCCGACCAACGGGATATATTTGGAAGAGATGAATTCTTTCACTTACTATTTGGGCAGCGGCATCAAGGCAGTCGGCACGGATGTGCAAAAACAGACATTCGTTACTCTGAAATTAGTGTGGCAATCCACTATACAATCAGCATTAAAACAAACAGGTTCAGATTATCAACACTTATGTAAAAATCCATTAGTAGTGCTTCTATATAATTCAGAGACTTGGTGCGGACACTAAAAGCATTTACGATAGGTTACTGCAGGCTTTCATCAACAACTGCTGGCTTCATACTGAAGATCAGATGACTGGCAAAAAATGGGTTAAGCAATTAGGAATTTCGGAAGCGCGAACCAACAACTAAGAACCTATTGTTTAACAAACATTCAGAAGTAAATGGGGAGATGGATTGGAAACAAGTTGAGGAAACCGTTGACTGACACAGCGTGCCAGCTGACCACCCAAGTGAAGCCCAAACGGTGACGTGAAGATTTTTGAAAGCTTACGGGCAATGGTGGACCCAGTTAAAGAGGACTGCAGAGAACAGGATGAAATGGCGATGTGCTGTTCGGGCTGTCGCTATGTCCCATTCCGTCTGTCTGTTTTCGACATAAAACTTTGCACAAATGTGCGGAAGTTCAACTCGCCACACTCCAAGTAGCACACAAAGCAACAAAAGAAAGTACAAGAAAGTCATAATAGAGACAGTAAGCAGAGGTGTGAGACAAAGGAAGAGTAATAACGAAGAACAAAACAGTTTCATTGGAAATCATAAGTCACTAGGAGTGGATGCATCTGCGCCACTGAGAACGATTTTGAGCCATGTCACCAATTGTTTCCAACCATTGAGTTTTACCGGCCCGAGGACCCCAACCAGTAAGCCAGTCTACACCTTCCTACGTGGCTTAGACTAACTGCTGTAGATTTCATTGACTGGTGCCATGTTTTGGTTTGACCGCCACTAGCTGGCTCTATTCCAACCTGACCCTGTATCCGCTAACATTGCTCGTCGAGGGAGGCGATGACTACGCATACGTAACACGTGTCCTAACCATCTCAGTCTTTGTAACTTCACAACTTTGTCGATTGATTTCCCCTGTCTACCTAGAACTCGACGCCTAACTTCAATGTTGCTCACCTTATTATGCCACTTCACACGGGAGATAGAACTCAAACACCTATGATCAAAGACAGCTACCCTGCTTTTTCATGCCTTCCACTCTCAATGGCCAGGTCTCGCTCACAGCAATAAAGGAGGACAGAGCGAACTGCTAAGCACTACATTCGCCCTTCAGTCGAAAGCTGGCTAGCCGGATATCACGTCTACTAAGTCGGAGACGGCGTAAACTGGAATATGCGAAACTAGCCCTCTGTATTCGTGCTGAGATTTCGTCACAGATCAACCCGCTGGCACTGGCTGATGGTACTTCCCAGATAAGAGAAGCGGTCAACCTGCTCTACCGCTTCACTTCCTATTTTTAAACTAAGCGTCGCTGTAGTCCAGTCCTGTAACATCATCTTGCATTTGGCGGGAGCGAATCGCATACCAAACATTCGTAGATTGCGGCTCAAGGTGTTCAGAAGACTCTTCTTTTTCTCAGAGTCCTCGCCTAGGAGTCAGTACTATATCGTCTGCATATTCCAAGTCGACGAGATTATTCCCTGGTAACAAGTCAATCCCTGAGTCGCTGAAGTCACTTACGGTTAAGTCCATTAGTACATCTATGATGAAGTTGAATAGAAAAGGGGATAATGGGCATCCTTGACGGACACCACTAGTCGTCACCAGTTCAGATGACAGCTCGTCGTAAGCCCTCACCTGGCTGACTGCATGAGTACGAGTAGAGTGTCTTAATCAGTGCAATATATTTTCTCGGAATTCCCTTTACACCAAAGCATCTCCAGAGAACTTCTCGGTCGACAGAGTCGAATGCTGCCTTTAGGTCACGAAATATAATGACTGTTGGACGCCGGTAGGAATGCTTATGTTCTAGAATCTGTCGGAGGGTGAAGATATGATCAACAAACCCTCTTCCTGGTCAAAAGCCTGTCTGGCTCTCTCGTGTTTGTTCCTCCCGAGTACCATTTAGTCCACGCATGATTATTCAGCCATATGTTCCATTAGGCAACAGTAGTAAAGAATATAATTTAAACGTAGTTAGCACACCATGTTTTCTGCAATAACGAGCGACGAAACACCAGCTGGGTCACAAAGAAAATTTCCGACAGGCTATTGCAGACCAGACCTTTATGAACAACAACTGTCTTCGCTCTATACTGAAGATCAGATGGCCAGAAAGAAACTATGGGCACTAAACAAACAAAACAAGAACCAACCAATCGCCCAACAAATATGCAGGAGAAGGTGGATGGAGATGGATTGGACACTCTCTGAGAAGGCCACTGAGTAACATCGCTCGCGCGTCAGGCCATTGATCGAGTGGAACCAGACCGAAAGAGAAGCGGCGAGTGGGACGTCAGTCCAAGGGTGACATGGAGGAGGTCGTGTGAAACAGTAAGTTGAGTTGATACTGTATGGACTAACATGGATGCAGGTGAAAAGTACAGCAGAACACAGAAGTGGTAAGTGGAGACGTGAAATTGAAGCCCTATGTTCCACTAGGAACCCAAGGGAACAATAATAATAATAATAATAATAATCAGTTGTGCGAATTGTGTATGGCAGAGGTGGTGACAACTAACTGCTAAACTAAGTCATATGTTAGTATAAGATATGAAGGGAATATAATCCGAGTGATCTGCCAGATATAACAAGTATAAGGTGTAAATAAATGATGGATTTTAGCCTTTCTCTTCATTTCAGTAACAGAAAGATTTCACCTGACATAGCTCACAGTAATAATCTGTGAGGGCACCCCACTCCATGTGAAGGTGAATTGGATTCTCGTCGGAAGTACTGGTGAGGGAACCGTCAAAATCACAAGATGACAAAATTAGAATTCTGAGATCATTGAAACCTAGTTTAAGTGGTCAACAAGCTTGGTCTCGTAACCTGAAGGTCCCGCCTTCAACTCCTAGCAGGCTTGTGGCTTTGCACTGATGACTGGGACGAAACGGATGTCCATTGCTCCCTGATTTTCAATGATCTCTCCAACTGATGTTGGTTCATGATGAAAAATTTAACGATTGAACGAAACTGATGGACACTGCGCTAGCAAGAATTCCAGGAGAAATATGACATATTTGGTTCATGTATTAGTAGTTACAACCACAATGTGCAAAGATTAAATCAATTAAAGATTCAGAATATAGATTCGATTTACATTCAACGACATCATCTATAGACAGAAAGACGGGATTACTGTGGGCTCTCCCCTTGGCCCACCTTTGGCAGACTGCCTCATGGCCAGCCCGGAAAACGGCATCTTAAACTCAACAATAGACAAATTGCTGCTGTATAAAAGATACACTGATGACACTTATAGTTTGTTAAGATAATTCTGCCATCTTCCAATTAAATTCACAATGGAAGTTGAAAATGAATCATAGATTTCATCCCTGGACGTCGAATTGACGAGAAGAGATGACGGAACTTTGAAAAGATCTATCCATAGAAAACCAACATGGAATGGCCAACTGACAAACTTCTACAGTTGGATACCTATCAGCCGTAAAAGATCTCTCATCGTCTCGCTAGCCCACCGTACCAGAAGAATTTGTAGCGATGACTGTTTACAAGAAGAGCCCTATTTCTCAAAAGCATCCTGGTTCAAAATGAATACTCACCGCGTTTCTTGGAGAAGAACATGAAACCAAGACCAAAATGAGAAGAATACACCTCAGTGCAAAAGAAGACACTCGATTTGAAACTGGAATTCAGGGGAGACCTAGCAGAAGATATCCTTAAGAGAAGAAGAAGACTTTTCCGGCAGCAACTCTAAGAGTGATCCTTTCTAGCCGCCCACTACTTCGGAGCGACGGGAAGGACAGACTTCCGCATATGACCAATTCAGCGTGCATATATCAGTTCACCTGCTCGTGAGGAGCTAGGTACATAGGTCGTTCTATGCGAGTCTTATCAAAATGTGTTAGAGAACATCATCCAGCATGCCTGCAAACAGGAGGCACTGGTTCAATCAGAAGCGCAATAACTGAACATCTCGTCAAGACCTGTCACAGAATCTCAACTGACTCACCATTTAAAGTCGTTTACAAAATGAACAAAAGCCTACCAAAGGCAGTGTGTTTCCGACTTCTTTGTACTGCAGAAGCTCTCACCATATGCATCGAAAAGCCGGAGCTATGTGCTCAAAAGAAACTAGTCCAGCCTTTACAACTACCATGAACCTAGTTCGGTATGTTCCCTTATCCTTCAGTTTCTTGTATGTTGTTTTGTTATCTGTGTGCGTAATTTTTTCTCTTTGTCTTCATTCAATTCATTCCATTTTTTTCAGTTATAAAATCAGTTATTTTAAGTTTGTTTCCATGCTCCTCCTGATCACACTTGTAATCCGTTTAGAATAACCACTTTACAATTATATTCTAATCCTGTGTAATTTTTTGTTTCTATGCCTCTTGTAATCTGTCTATATTCACACCTCCTAACTTACATTTCAAGTTGAAAATTTTGATTTCAATTTGTTTCCATGCTCATTTTCTCCACATCTGTAATTCGTTCTATCCCTGCGTTTCTAAGCCTCTTGGTAATTCATATCAAGTTGAAAATAATTATCACCTTTTATTCACCTTTAAAATCATTTCTCCAGTTATCAAATATTAATTTTGCATATGTGTTGTAACTGTTTTCTAATCCTATGCAATCTTGTCTCTAAGCCCCTTGTAATCTATATTCATCATACCTTCAAACTTTCATATCAGGTTGAAATATTTTATTATCACCTTCGTTACTATGTGGAATTAAACAAATAAGAATTGTATCCAGGTAAACTAATATATATATATATATATATATATATATAAATGCGATTGTACAGCTGCTTTTGAGAATGAAATCGCCGAAAAGATCGCTATCTTTACTGAACTTCTTGTTCTTTTCAGTCTAAAGATTAAATCATCAACAGAGTACGGTACGTATAGTGTTATCGAAAATGTCATACAATAATTCCCTGAAGTGATGTGAAAACAAGAAAAGCATAATAATACACACAGTTTTAATGAATGAACTTACGTTTCATTGATTTCATTCAGATTCGAATCGTCTTCATTCAACGACATGGATTTGTTAAACTGTAATAATACTGGTCCAGGAATGATATGACGTACACTAGCGAAAAAATCTGTTACAAGGACACGGCGTATATCACGTCCAAATAAATCAGATCGAGTGACTACAGTTGACTGACAAAGTGAATATGGACACAAATGAGACTAATATTTACCAACAAACAAAAATAGGGAAAGGAAAAAAACAAAGATTAGATGTATATATTATATTATTTTTATTGTATGACCAACATAAAACAAGACATTCAAATTAACATGAAAAGACATATATATATATATATATCGAAAATCGGGAAGGCGAGAAACACACACATTCATCAACCTGAAACCAATCTGGAAATCTTCGTCACTCAGCATCAACAACAAAATTCAGTCGAATTTTCAATACAAACAACGTCAAGTCAGTCACTTCTTCTATACGGATCAGAAACTTGGCTGGTCGGTCACAAAGAATATTTCCAACAGCCTGTTGCAGACCTTTATCAACAACAACTGTCTTCGCTGGATCTATACTGAAGATCAGATCACCAACAAGAAACTATGGGCACTAACATACAAAACAAGAACCAATCGCCCAGCCAATATGCAGGAGAAAGTGGATGGAGATGGATTGGACACTCACAGCTGAGGAGGCCACTGAGTAACATCGCGCGCGCATCAGGCCATTGCTCGAATGGAACCCGAAAGGGAAGAGGCAAGTGGGACGTCAGTGCATAGGTGACATGGAGGAGTATGGACTAACATGGATGGAGGTGAAAAGTACAGCAGAACACAGAAGTGGTAAGTGGAGACGTGAAATTGAAGCCCTATGTTCCACTAGGAACCCAAGGGAGCAATAATATATATATATATATATCATTGATAGATACCATCATCACAGTGTTAAAAACAGAACATATCTCTAGCTTCTTGACACACATAAACTCACTAGTGGAGGGAATAAAATTCACATTTGAATAGGAAAATGAACAAGGAGAATTAGCTGTGATGTTAGACTGTAAAATAAAACGAATAGAAGGTAAACTACACACTAGCATTTATAGAAAACCAACGGATTCCACTAATAGATACTTAGAATTTAATTCATCTCATCTGTTAACTGTTAAGGGAGGTTTAGTGAAGTGTCTAACAAACCGAGCAGTGACACTAAGTATCACAAAAAAAGACCTAAATGATGAAACAAAACAGATAGAAGAGGCTTTGGTGTTACATAACTATCCTATAAAATTCATTAGGAAGATCAAAAAAGGCCAAAAACAAAATAAAAATAATTGTGAAACTAGTAATAATAACATAAATGACAGAGAATATAAGTCATCCACTGTTATACCATATAAAGAGGGGACATCTGAGACCCTACGTAGGATTCTGAATAAAGCAGGAATTAGGGTGGTATTCAAGCCTACAAACTCACTCAGGTACAAGCCCTGTAGGTTAAAGGACCCAATTGACATAATTAGACAAAATAATATAATTTATATATGTGTAAAACTTGGACACTATGGTAGTAAGTAATTCCATATTAGTTTGTTTATTAGATGTATCACACCGTGAAACAGTATTATTTACTGGATGACACAGTTTCGAACACAATTTATTGTTCATAATCATACCATTCAATTATAATCACACGACTTTGAAACTTGAGTTTTATAATAATATAATTTATAATATAGTTTACAAAATACCCTGCAATGACTGAGCGAAGTCAACTACATAGGTCAAACTAGTAGGTCAGGGGTAGTTAGATTGTCGGAACCTAAGAATTTAGCTAAGGTAAGAATGGTTGACCCCACAAAGATAAGGAATTTAGAAAAAAGCTCAGCAATCTCAATGCAAACATTAACACACAACCACACAATAGCATGGTGGGAGAGAGTTAAAATTCTAAAAAGCAACATAGGTAGGCGGAGGGAGATAGAGGTTGATTACTGAATCCTTGTTTATCGAGTCTACACCAAACACATGCAATAGGAATGATTCATCACTCATACCACTACACTAGTGAACCATCGCATTCAAATTTCACTCATATGAATGTAGCATGAAATGGAAGTCGAAAATTGCATGTATGAAGACAGAATCTACCACCACTCGAACATCAAAGTAGTCTGCAGCTGATGAGAACCTGTGAAATACAATGATATCATTTTATACTGCAAATTTCGTCTTCCTTTCTTTATCGAAATTTATCAAGGGAACCAAATGTATGAAGACAGGATCATTTAGAAATCCACCAGCCGTGTACAGACCACCTATGAATACCACTGGTGTGTATGTATTTCTACTCCTTGCACTAAATTCTGTAAATCAATTAAGTAGCTTATTGAAAAAAATCTACAATTAACTATACAATATGGACCTATTTTACAGATGAATGGTGGTTATGAATGCAGTGCATCTCTCAAAACCGCAAAACTAAATGACAACTTTTTATATTAGAACAAGACATATAAGCGAACAATATTGTTTTCAATTAGATCTTCTTCAGACTTTACTCCAATTTACATAGACTTATATATATAAAATTTTAACCAATGACGGTGATTTTGTGGATCAAATAATAATAATAATAATAATAATATGGTAAATGTTTTGAACGAAGTTAATAATGATGACTATAAAATTACCAAATATTGGTAATAAGGCTTTTATAGGTGATAAGAATAACAAAATTAGTATATGCATATATGTAGACAATTCAATAAATAAATAAATTAGGTCAAATCAAATGGAACGATAATCAGAGTTTAAATAAATATCATAAAAGTACGTACGAGAGGGATGATAACCAAGGGTGGGAGGGTTTTGAATAGAATTCACCTAGGCCAAGGGAGAGACAAAGGTAGAACAAATTTCTTTTGTATACAAAGACTGGGATTGTTCTCTCGAATTCCCATAGCTTCGGCTAAGTGTAAAAGACGGGTTCTGATTCTGTTCGAAAGACTCAATAGAATGCGGTAAATAACTTTGAAAGCACTATTTTTGTCCACTTGGTGACCACTATCAATCAAATGAGCCAAAATAGAACTTCGTATGGATTTTATTTGACCTTTTCCGAACCATGAAGGAAGATGCTCATTAATGCGTTTGTTAAGCTGTCTAGTTGTTCGGCCTATATAGCTTTCTCCACAGGAGCAACTAAATTTATAGATACACATGGAAGTGGCACAACTAGGTAGCTTATCTTTCACCTGAGCAATCAAAATTGGTCGGCTGGGAAATGACAAACAGAGGGTGGCGGCAGTATAAGTCCGTTTTATCGCTCTTGATAATCTCTGATGCAAGATTTCACTAGCCACGTCCCCATTAAATTGCAGTTTCATGAACAGTTGTTTCTTTTTAACAGTTAAATGGTCTTCGTCTGACGGCCTTAAACTAAATCCTCCCAAATATCAGACCGTTAATTTCACTTTCCGATGTATACGAAAGTTAAATGAAGCTGTTGGTTTCTACGATCTTTGCAAAATTGATGATAATGATATAGAAGTCAAGTCTGAAGTTAGGTATCTTGGATTAATTCTTTCTTCTGACTCATCCTGGTCTTCCCATGTCTTAGCGATTTCGAAAAGAATATTTCGTCTGACTTTCTACATTAAGAAGTTGAGGCACTTAAGCATAACCCAACCACTCCTCCTCTTACAGTTTGTCAACTCGTGCATCTTACCTATTCTTCTTTACTGTTCACCCTTGCTTATTCTTTCCTGGATTGCTTAAAAAAGACTATGTCATACTTCGTAGAGCTCTGAATAATGTCAGTAGAGCGGGTGATGGTAACCCATGGTAACTACGACTTCGTAGAACTCTGAAGACTGTCAGTAGGACGAGTGGTATCCCATTAGGCCATATCGTTGACATTGTCACTGATAGGCACTTGATTTCATGCAACAAATTTGCTAAAGGAATTTTGTCAGACTCTGAGCACCCACTTTACCCGCAGCTCCAACCTTGTATCTCCTCAGGTAAAACAAGAAGTCTTTTCAGAAGACTTTATGCACGTGCGTCTAAGCATTAAAATTCCACCATACCATATTTGGCGGCACGTATTTTGTGTGATGGAAATAGTGTTAGGCATGAACTAACTAACCTTCTTTGCTCTACTAAATAAACCATTCCCTCCACCCTTACAGCAGGAAACTATATTCTTATTGTATTTCTTATATTTATAATCCTCTCAATTTTTTGTTTTTATTTATTTATTTATTTTTCGTAAGTGTGAACATCGTTTAAACTGTGTTACCACTGCTAATCTTGTATTTCCCCTCACTACACTATATCAACAGAACATTAGATCCAATAATTTATAACATGCTAAAGTTTCCAAACTGAATTGACAATACTCTTTGAGACAAACTCACTGTTATTATTATTATTATATTTAATACTCTCAATTCGTGCTTCGAATATTTCGTAAACGTGGAGAAATTCTTCTGGTTAATTTTGTTTTAATTTTTAATTTTATTTATATTTTAAGTAAATCAGATGCAAGATGTTGTGGCAAATGCTGAGAATTCCATTCTGTATTATAAGTACTGTTTATGGAATAAAGTAGATTATTATTATTATTATTATTATCAATGAACCATCTGCAAAACCTTTAAAGGCCGACAAGGGGACACAGAAGACAACAACATACAGTGAAGTTGACAGAAGAAAATAAATGATTATTTTAAAAGGCACAGATAGAGAGTCATCATTTGACATTTCTGAGGGCAGAAAGCTTATCCTACTCCTAAAGAATTTCAATGCTTGTTCTATTATCTGCTAAATAAACAATAATAATAAGCACCACAGAAACACTTTCTTCCAACAGTGTACACATAACATTAACCTTTCTATGAAAGATAACCCCTATTTTGTAAAGCTATAGTTAGCCTTTACTCTTTAGACTTATATATTTGGCATATCATCTGAATGTTCCAGCTAATAATAAGGTACACCAGTGAATCTGTTAAACTTCTAGATCGTCAAACCCTTCCCCCCACCCCCGCTATGGTTAAGTGGTGTGCGTCACCAGAAGCATTTCCAACAGGCTATTGCAAACTTTTTTCAAAATACATGCCCTCTTCGCCGTATACTGAATATAAGATTCGCCGACCAGAAGGGAAGGGCAATAAGGCACTCTGCAGTGCAACACAACCCAAACAAGAACCTATTATCCAACAAATATGCCAAAAGAGGTAGGGATGGATTGGACATACAGTGAGGAGACCGTTGAGTGACATTCCATACACTAAGCAATCACACTCGAGTGGAGCCCAAATGAGAAACAGCGATTTGGGCATGACTCCGACGGTAACATGGAGATCATGTGATGAGGCGTGAAGTGCTAGGTAAAGAGCAGAAATCAATAGACGAGTCTGTGAAGTTACACCAATTGAGATGGTTAGAACATGTGTTACTTACGCCTGATCATCGCCTTCCTCGACAACAGGCAATGTTAGCTGACATAGGGTCAGGCTGGAAAAGAGCCAGCTAGTGGTCGTCAAACCAAAACATGGCTTCATCGGTCAATGAAACCCACAACAGTTAATTTAAGCCACCCAGTCATGTAGGAAGGTGTGGACTTCCTGACTAGGGTCCTCGGGACGGTAAAAATCAGTGGCTGGAAACAATCGGTGATATGCCTCAAAGTGATCGTTCTCAATGGCTAGCGCAGATGCATCCACTCCCTGTGACTTATAATTTCCAACAAAACTCCTATTGTTCTTCGATATTACTATTCTTTTTGTCGCATATCTCGCTTTACTGTCTCTAGTTTGAGTTTATTTTTACTTTTTTTTCTGGCTTTCTATGTTGAGTGAAGTGTGGCGATTCGAACTGCTGGAGACCGGTTCAAAGTTCTGTGTTGAAACCAGAGACAAACAGACAGGTGTGAGGAGATGAAACCTTACGGACAATGGTGAGGTTAGATTAAAAGGAGTGCAGAGGACGGAGTGAAATGTGCAGGTGAAATCAACAAACAATGCACAGAAGAACTGTACTTCAATGTATTGTAATGTCTACATATCTGAGCACTATTATTATTGTTAGTATTATTATTATTATAACCGTTACTATTAACAAACATACCTAATACTTATTATAATAATAAAGCATGTAATTAACACACTGCATAACTTACAAATTCGTATAAAGTTTTTTTACTCTCTGGTGTAAGTGACTCCAAAAATTTGAATGCATAAAAAGAATATCGATCAGACACGTAGGTTCCGATTTCACGATCAGCATGCAACTATTGAATGAATTTTTGAAGAGGAAAACCAGTGTAGAAGGAAATTTTTAAAATATCAAATGTATAAACAGTCTTCAAGATTTTGTGAATAGATAGTGTACAATATTGTTTGTTTAAAATTTTAAACTGAGTAGTTACTTAGTGACGCACTGGATACACAACAAAGCGTGGAATGGCAATCAAACCTCTACCTCAACTTTATAGACTTTGAGAAGGCCTTCGACAGCGTTGACCGCGAAGTAATTTGGAAATTACTCGAGTACTACGGCGTGCAATCGCCCAAATATTCACCAACCTTATTCAACAGCTGTACGACAACGGTGGCACATGTCAAGTGATCCACAACGGAAAACTCAGCGAGGCGTTTGGAGTAAACACAGGAGTCAGACAGACAAGGGTGCTTATTATCACCAATGATATTCCTAATTGTGGTGGACTGGATTATGCGTCAGACAGTGGGAAACGAGAAGACAGGGATATCCTGGACCGACGTGAACAACCTAGAAGACCTGGATTTCGCGTGTGGATGATTTATGTTTGATGTCACTGTCACAAAACCGAAGACTTACAAGCGAAAACTGACTGACAAACTGGTCGAAGAAGCAGCCGGTGAAGATAGGACTCCAAGTGAACATAGACAAAACGGAGGTTATCAAAATAACCAGCCAACAACAACAACTTTATTTGGTTTCACAGGTTCTTCTCCACTAATCTAGGTAGGAAGAGATTCTCCTCCCAAATTCTTCACCGATTTCAGTAATACAGGATTATTTATTCACTGAAAACGTTTCCAGTATAATACATGAATACATGAACTGTATCAACGGTAGCCAGATAACTCACCGATTTTATCTCTACAGCAATATTGCTTGTGTTCCTATTAATATTATAACTAACACTTTCCATATGTCTGGAATCCGTGCCAAGGCATGCTTAATGCACGTGTTTGGTACAGACACCATGAACAAAGAAAGATTCAGTGGTCAACTCCTACCCCCCCACACACACACACCACATCTAGCTATATCACTTTTTAGGACTATAGCCCTGACACACTTTATTGAGATTGTCTGACATTCACATGGATTGAGAAATCATTGAGTTTTCTTTCAAGCCAGTCATCTTACTGGTATAAAATCATTCTACACTTTGATCTCTACGCTTTGATAAACTAACTGACCCGATTTACTGAAATAGCCTATGTAGTTAACCTAAAACAATGCATACACCAAAAAACACAATCACTCAACAGGATGCAACGGAGATACAGTTCTCCATAGTAGTACATTTAGATTGAGAGTGCCGTAATAAGATTACTGTCAACAGATTTTACCTAAAACATCATCACTCAATAAATAATACTGTATTATATCCAAAACATGTATTATGGTCAAAAGCTAAATGTTTAATTCTAATAACCACATCTGTCTGTCTATCTATCTGGATTCCACACAGAACTTGGCACCGAAGTGCACCAGTTCGAGTTGCCACGTTCCAAATATCACACAAAGGTAGACAAGAAGATAAGTGAAGAGAATCAATAGAGTTTCACAAGTATAAGAGTGAAACAGAATGGGTAATGGTAGAAAGGAATATGAAAGATTAAAGAGGCTGAATACATCTGCGCTGGCCATTGACAACGATTTTGAGCCATGTCACCTATCGTCTCCGGCCATTGATTCCTAGAGTCCCAAGGGCCCCAACCCGGAAGTCTGTATCTCCCTACATGATTCAGTTTAACTGTCAAGGATTTCATGGATTGATGAGGCCATGTTTTTTTTGGCCACCACTGGCTCTTTTCCAGCCTGACCCTGTATCCGCTAACATTGCTCGTCGAGGGAGGCGATGACTACGCATACGTAACACGTGTCCTAACCATCTCAGTCTTTGTAACTTCACAACTTTGTCGATTGATTTCCCCTGTCTACCTAGAACTCGACGCCTAACTTCAATGTTGCTCACCTTATTATGCCACTTCACACGGGAGATAGAACTCAAACACCTATGATCAAAGACAGCTACCCTGCTTTTTCATGCCTTCCACTCTCAATGGCCAGGTCTCGCTCACAGCAATAAAGGAGGACAGAGCGAACTGCTAAGCACTACATTCGCCCTTCAGTCGAAAGCTGGCTAGCCGGATATCACGTCTACTAAGTCGGAGACGGCGTAAACTGGAATATGCGAAACTAGCCCTCTGTATTCGTGCTGAGATTTCGTCACAGATCAACCCGCTGGCACTGGCTGATGGTACTTCCCAGATAAGAGAAGCGGTCAACCTGCTCTACCGCTTCACTTCCTATTTTTAAACTAAGCGTCGCTGTAGTCCAGTCCTGTAACATCAACTTGCATTTGGCGGGAGCGAATCGCATACCAAACATTCGTAGATTGCGGCTCAAGGTGTTCAGAAGACTCTTCTTTTTCTCAGAGTCCTCGCCTAGGAGTCAGTACTATATCGTCTGCATATTCCAAGTCGACGAGATTATTCCCTGGTAACAAGTCAATCCCTGAGTCGCTGAAGTCACTTACGGTTAAGTCCATTAGTACATCTATGATGAAGTTGAATAGAAAAGGGGATAATGGGCATCCTTGACGGACACCACTAGTCGTCACCAGTTCAGATGACAGCTCGTCGTAAGCCCTCACCTGACTGACTGCATGAGTACGAGTAGAGTGTCTTAATCAGTGCAATATATTTTCTCGGAATTCCCTTTACACCAAAGCATCTCCAGAGAACTTCTCGGTCGACAGAGTCGAATGCTGCCTTTAGGTTACGAAATATAATGACTGTTGGACGCCGGTAGGAATGCTTATGTTCTAGAATTTGTCGGAGGGTGAAGATATGATCAATACACCCTCTTCCTGGTCAAAAGCCTGTCTGGCTCTCTCGTGTTTGTTCCTCCCGAGTATCATTTAGTCCACGCATGATTATTGAGCCTAGGAGTTTAGTTACTATATTAGTCAAGCTAATCCCTCTGTGATTATCACAGGAAGACTTGTCTCCCTTCTTGTATATGGGGATAATCAGTGACTTACACCAACCCCATGGGACTTCTGATTCCCAGACGCTGCCTAGAACCTCAGTTAATGCAGACAGTAAACTGTCTCCACAGTACTTAAATACCTCTGGAGTCATTCCAAACACCTCTGCTACTGAAACTTCAAGGTATAAACTTAAAGCCATGTGTTCCACTGGTAGTAAAGCAAAGCAATAACCTAACAATGTGACATGTTTCAACAGCATAGAGAGACAGGAAGTTTCTAATGCTGACCAAAATAAAATATAGTTAGAACTTAACAAACACATGGATTATGTTAATTTGGGAAGTATCATCAGCCAGTGCCAACGGGTTGATCTGTGACGAAATCTCAGCACGAATACAGAGGGCTAGTTTCGCATATTCCAGTTTACGCCGTCTCCGACTTAGTAGACGTGATATCCGGCTAGCCAGCTTTCGACTGAAGGGCGAGTGTAGTGCTTAGCAGTTCGCTCTGTCCTCCTTTATTGCTGTGAGAGAGACCTGGCTATTGGGAGTGGAAGGCATGAAAAAGAAGGGTAGCTGTCTTTGATCATAGGTGTTTGAGTTCTATCTCCCGTGTGAAGTGGTATAATAGGGTGAGCAACATTGAGGTTAGGCATCGAGTGCAGGGGAGGGGTAAGCAGGGGAAATGAATCAACGAGGCTGTGAAGCTACACCAATCGAGATGGTTGGTACATTTGTTACGTATGCCTAGACATCGCCTTCTTCGATAACAGGCAATGTTAGCTGACATAGAGTCAGGCTGGAAAAGAGCCAGCTAGTGGTCGTCAAACCAAAACATGGCTTCATCAGTCAATGAAATCCACAAGTTAATTTAAGCCACCCAGTCATGTAGGAAGGTGTGGACTTCCTGACTAGGGTCCTCGGGACGGTAAAAATCAGTGGCTGGAAACAATCGGTGATATGCCTCAAAGTGATCGTTCTCAATGGCTAGCGCAGATGCATCCACTCCCTGTGACTTATGATTTCCAATGGAACTGTTTTGTTCTTCGTTATCACTATTACTTTGTCTCACACCACTGTTTACTGTCTCTATTATGCACTTCTTCTACTTTCTTCTCTTGCTTTGTGAGCTACATGGAGTGTGGCGAGTCGAACTTCCGCACATTTGTGCAAAGTTCTATGTTGAAAACAGGCAGACAGACAGGTTTATATTTATAAAGGTATATCTTTCTTTAAAAAAAAAAGTATGTTACCTGTACATAAGTAGGGAAATTTGAATGCAAACAAAGCAACAAACAAGAATATTGTCATGAATTTTTTTTTGAAATAATTGTAGGTAACTCACAGACAAAGATTCTTCACCGACTGCACTACTACCGATTGCAACTACATTTGGAGAGTAAAACAGTTTGCCCATAGATTCAGCTTGACATGTATCGACAACAAACAGTAATTCATGATACCTGTTAAACAGAAGTAAGTCAAAATTGAAAGTTTATAGACTATAACAGAGAGAGAGAGAGAGAGAGATAAAAAACATATCGCTATTGCTACATTATGAACCAGGTTATTTCGGCTTCAGCCTGGACATGACCGTAATCCAGTAGTCCGTTTCCATTTAATAAAGAACTCAAAAGACGAAACATCGATGTTGGCATTCCTATATCTTTTACAAAAGTACAATGAATGTCCACTTCTTATTTAATAAAGAACTATAGAGACAAATCGATGGTGTGGCGATGAGGTCACCACTAGGACCCATTCTAGCCGACATTTTCCTTGCGAAACTAGAAAATGCGCCTTTGAAGGATGTTATTAATGAACTTGAATTTTATTGTCGGTACATGGATGATACCTTTTTTGATTATGAAAAATGAGAAGGAAGCAAAGGGCATCCTGGATAAATTTAATGAGATACATCCTGCAATAAATTTTACTAATGATAAAGAAAAAGACTCTAGTATTCCATTTTTAGGCGTCCTTATGACAATAACAATTTCGCTCTATTCCAGAAACAGTACTTGTGGTACAGTGTGGAATTTTCAGCACATATCTACAATATTGCATCTAATTTCATCGTACATTTAAAAGGAGTATTATAAAAAAAATAAAATATATAAAAAAAACAACAAAAAACCAAAAAAAGAAACACAGAAATAACAAAAAAAATGCAAATAAAAATACCAAGTAAAAAGGAAGATAAACACAAATAATGAAAAAATATTTCAGTATTGGTTAGTGGAAGCTACGATATGTGTATGCGTGGTGAACAGTAACAGCTATAATCATACGGGAAATTATGAGATGTTCTTAAAAATGTTTATAGCCAAGATGATCAGTTAATTTGATTGAACAACACTAAGCAATCATAAGATAAACATTTCAGGTTGTTTTTTTTTATTGTCAGCACTAATGCGGTTGTTTGTAGTGGTAGTGTGAGGAATCATGCATAATACAAAATTTTTTAAGATGGTGATAGTGGCAATAACAAACAAGATTGTCAGTTAAATAGTGCCGAACAAAGAACAACCACAAAACTAATGTTACATGATGGTTAATGACGGGACAATTTTTAATAATCATAGTGATAATATAGTCGGACCCAGTAGATACACAAAAAAGGAATAGAATAAAGAATAAAAATGTAAGCCAATGATAATAATTTTAAGCAGCTAAGTATGTTTAAGAAGGTTGTTCACTATAGAGTACAAATAAGAGAGTGTAAGGGGGAAATAACAAGGGCCAAAATTATGTTATTAACAACAAAGCAAGTCATAGGTTTCACGCTTAACATTGTCTCTGTCACTTAGAACACGGGCCAAATATGGTATCGTTGAGTTCCTATACTTGGTTGTACGAGCATATATTATTTTGTACTGATTTCTGGTTCTACCTGATGAGATGCAAGGAGAGAGTTGGGAATAGAGGGGGTGTTGGGGGTCAGAGAGTATGGTTTTAGACCATTTCTCACATGTATTCAGATGCTTATCCACTAATGTTGTGACGAGCTGACTGAGTTTTACACCGCTAGTCCTACTAACTACCTTCAACATCCTTCTCAGGATGGTATAATCCTTTTTCAGTAACCCAGGAAAGACTAACGGGGAACAGTAAAGTAGAATAGGTAGGATACGAGAGTTGACAAATTGTGAAAGCAGAGGTTGAGGGACTCCAGTTAGTCTGAGTTTCTTAATGTAGTAGGTTAGACGAAACACTTTCTTGGAAATCATTTGGATATGAGATGACCAGGTAAGGTCGGAAGATATAACTAATCCGAGGTATTTTGCATTAGACTTTGTTTCAATTATAGTCCCCTCAATTCTACAGACATCATGAGTGCTTACTAGTGTTTGTAGATCTCGTTTATGCCTAAAGGAGAAGTCGACAGTCTGGCATTTTGAGGGATTCAGCGTTAGGCCATTTAGTTTAGACCACTGACTGATGTCCGACAGGAAGCTATTTAATTTGAAGCAGTCTGACTGAGACTTAACGGGAAGCGAAACAGTCAGGTCATCTGCATATTTGACGAAGTTGATTTCGTCTGAGAGAGGTAAGTCATGTAAGAAGAAGGAAAAGAGAAACGGCGAGAGAACAGCACCCTGAGGAACACCAGCTTCAGTAAGCAAAGGAGAGGAAGCTACACCATTATATACCGTGTACTGCATCCTATTGGAGAAGTAAGAGTGCAGCCAGTTGATAGCCCAGGACTCAGTTTGTGTAAGGCTAAGCTTGTTTAACAAAAGGCCTCTAGGTACAGAGTCAAAAGCAGATGTGTAATCAAGGAAAGTACAACGGACATACTTGGCCCCTTTGTCTAAGGAGGATACAATGTTGTGATGAAACACAGCAGCAGCATCCAAAGTACTTCTACCCTGTTTGTAAGCAAACTGCTTTGGATCGTTTGAGAAGCTTAGGGAGGGAATGAGTTTTTGTAACAGTAATTTCTCCATCAGTTTCAAAAAAGGAGAGGTAATGGCAATTGGTCTAAACTTAACACTATCTCCAGAACCAGACTTGGGTACAGGGATGATTTTAATATCTTTCCACAGAGAAGGTACATTATTATTAGAAAAAGAAGTATTGAAAATGCTTGTAAGTGGGTTACTTAAAATATCAGCACATTTCTTTAAAACAATGGCAGGTATACCATCAGGGCCTAGACTCTGGGAAGGTTTAAGAGATTTCAAACATTTAAGAACATCAGAAGTATTGAAACGATGAAAGTCACTGGTCGTGTTATTAGTTAAATTGAAGGCAGAAAGGACATTTGGAGGGCGGATGAAAGATCTATTGAGAGTATTTACATCAATAGAAGAGGCAAAATTATTATGCTTACCACAACCAGTAATTTCTCTAAAAAGCTTCCATATGTTTTCTGAGGTTTTACAAGATAGTATTGTTTGATTATAAATGTTGTTTAGTCTCTTGATTTCAGATTTAATTTGGGTGTTTATCTTCTTAAGACCAGATTTATTCTTTGTCTTGTACAGCTTCTCTTTTTCTCTACGAAGTTTTTTGAGATGAGGGGAAGAAAAACGATCCATTCTTTTGAAAATTATCTGTTTTGGACAGCATATATCAAGACAGAATTTAAGATAGTCAGTCAAATTGGAAATAGTATCATCCAGTTTGTGTTCGTTGAAAAGTTCCCAGTTAGTGTCATTTAGCATGCATCTTAGTTTGAGCATATTTTCTTGTGAGTAACACCTTTGCTGTGTTTTCTTGGACAGATTTGAGAAGATATTAAAGTGAGATCTGCTGTATATCTTAGGTAATATCCGAATAATACAATGATCTGAGTTCATGATAGGAGCACGTCGGCGTACTTCATATATTTCCTCATCATTAATGAACACTAGGTCAAGGGTTTTATCAAGTCGAGAAAAGAGGATGGCACAATAAGAAGTGTATATAGAAAACCTACATCAACGGGTCAGTACACACATTCTCTCAGCTTTGTGCCCTTGAAATATAAACGCGATCTGACAAGGTGCTTGGTTCGCACAGCAAGAGCGATTTGCTGGGACGAATGTCTTGATGAGGAACTTAATAATATTAAACGGTTGCTAAGTGAAAATGGTTATCCTGAAAAGTTTATTGATAAGAATACGAATCTTAAAACCAAAGCAGCCCAAGTTACCAACAGTTCCAAAAAAGGCCTTATTCTTACAAATGCAGTTCCTTGGGGACAACACCAGCGAGATACTAACAGCGCCTTAGAAATGCGGCAAAAAGAGTATTCCCTGCTGCCGAATTACGCTGTATCTTTAAAACCACTCCTCTTCTGAGTTCGGGAGTAAAAGACAAACTGCCTAATTTCGCCTCTTCCGTGTGTATTTACCAATTTAATGTAACCTGTGGAACCAGTTACATAGGCCGTACAATTAGGCACGTTTCGCGTCGAATTTCCGAACATCATCCTGAGTGGTTATGCAAAGGACAAACAAAATCTTGTCACAGCGCTATTCTGTCTCATCTTGTGGATACAGAACACAAGATTGACGTTAACCATGCTTTCAGGGTGATTTGCTGCATACCTACGAATCTCAATTTTGCCTTAAGAGTTCGACTATTAAATATTGCCGAGGCTGTGAGGATCCATATTAACAAACCTGATTTATGCATCCAAAAGAAGTTAGTTCAGATATTATCATCACCTTGGCCATCTAGGTTTGAATGATTATGAATTTTTGTGGAATTTTCCTAATTTTAATTGATATTCTACTTGCTACCATATCTTTATTATTATTATTTAAGCATCTTTAATGAACTGTAATTGCATTGGTCTTACTTAATAAATCGATACTATTTAAAAAACACTAATATTGTTATTGACTACTATTCTAGAATATTTTGTTTATATAAACATATATATAATTGTAGAGCGGGAAGAGGAATTTATAGAAAAGAATAATCTTTGCTCGATTATTTTGTGTTTTACAGATGTCCGAATGAATATTTTTGCTATATTGAAATATCTTGGTAGTAATCAATTTTGAATAGTTTACTTTAATTACTTTGTACCTTTAACCTTCTTGGGACTCATTTAGTTTCATATCCTACAAATAAGAGTGATACCTATTCCCAAAGAACATTCGGGTGATTCTGAGAAAACAACACAGAAATTCGATAACAGAACTGTGTAAAAATTAAACAATATGAGATATACAGTTACAAAATACAAAAAAATAGACTTTGAACGGAATGGAACTCAAATCTGCACTGAAATTACTCCAAAACCCTACAAAATCCATAATCTAAAATATCGATCTACAGCTCAATCGTAGCTACTGTGTAAATAAATGTCCTGAAGTTGTTATGAGAAGCCGTGTCCAGTGTTGTTCATGTCAAAGTGAAGACGATGCGCCTTATTAGCACCAGTTTACACTAGTACTATATCATGAATTGATAGAAGTTCGAGTTTACTGGTCACTGAATTCTATCCGAAGTGGTTGAATGGTCAACGAGCTGACCACATAATCTGAAGCTCTCAAATTCGATCCCTGGTGAGGTCGTAGGAGCGCACTAAAGAAGGACAAAACACCTGATGCTGCTCAGTAAAAGAATTCACACTGAAAAAATCTCTTGTGTTATCATTCTCTTCATTATATATATATATATATATATATATATATTACAACGGAATATGTGAATACTGCAAAATGATAAACATGAAGGATGTTTCAGATCATCAAGTGGCATGGTGGTGAAAACCACACTCATACGGTTGTGATGCTTAAAAAGATCATAATCAGATGCAGAAACTTTATCTAAAGATGTCACGATACAATAACCAATACGAAAACTCCAATTAACCATATAGTCAAGAAATAGCATAACTATAAAGCATGTATATACAGGCATACTGAAGGCCTTACTTATTACCTTATAAGCAAAAGGTGACTGGATCAAATATCACGTTATATACCACGGTCCTCGAGCTGTATTCTCGATTAAACACCTCTGTCTGAGTAGCCTGATAGCATCGTAAGCACTCACACCTCAGAGAACAAAACTGACAAATACGCATTTTCGGTGATTTTCGTATCAGGTTTTACAACTACATCTGAGAATTATTTAAAATAGACATCTGATACTCACATGACTGATATAAGCAGAACTCAGGTAAGTGAACCAGTGGATAGTAAATAAAAGCGACCACAATTAAAATAAGTCATGCAACTACTCATGTCATGTCTAGTTTGGTGGGAAAGGCTAAACGCTCAGACATAGTCGTTCTAGCTGGTGACTTTAATGCTCAAGTAGGGAAATTGTGTCAATCTGAGAAGGATGTCGGTGGCACCTATGGAGCTCCGTGCCAGCGAACCGACAACGGTGACCGTCTCCTACAGTTCTGCTCTGATAATCATTTGTTTCTTGTAAGCACTAACTTTAAACACAAGGAAAGACACTGTTTGACTTGGAGACCCCCTTCATCAAACCAACGCTGGACACAAATAGACCACATAGCAATAAGCTATCGTTGGCGTGGGTCGGTAGGAGATTGTCGCTCCTTCTGGAACACGTGCGTAGATACCGACCATGCACTGGTCCGCGCTCGGGTGTGCTTACGACTGAACGGACGTAGGAAACAGCTGGCGGTAAAACCATCACGTCCCCAGCTCGATCAGGAAACTAAATCCGTATTTCAGGAAGAACTAGCTAAACACATATCTGTGTTCGACAGCTGTGCTCACCCTGAAGAAGCTTGGAAAAATATCCAGGCAGCCATAGATACAGCTGTAAAAGCTGTGAATAAGGTAAACCCAAAGGTGAGTAAAAACCACTGGATCTCCACCGCCTCATCCGAACTGATAGATGCTAGAAGACTTATTCCGGCGAGCTCCGAATTCAATGAGGAGCGAAAGCTGCACAAGAGGAAACTTACGAAAAGTCTCCGCAAGGACCGTGAACAGTGGTGGGCGACAAAAGCCAAAGAGATGGAGAAAGCTTTGAGGATAGGCAACACCAGGCAACTCTTTGGACTCATCAGGGAAACGGGTGGGAGAAGACAAATCATTAGTGAGACAATCTCGGAAAAAAATGGCACTATAATTAGCTCACAGGATAGACGACTGGATCGTTGGAAAGAGCATTATGAGGAGCAGTTTAATTTGCCCACAGCCACGCTCAACCTTCCGAGCATCCAACACCTCCCTGAATGGGATATAGACACAGGTCCTCCGTCACTAACTGAGGTTACTAAAGCTGTCACCAATCTGAAACTAGGCAAAGCAGCGGGACCTGATGGAATGACGCCAGAGGTATTTAAGTACGGTGGAGACAGCTTACTGTCCGGATTAACTGAGGTACTAGGCAGCGTCTGGGAATCAGAAGAAGTCCCATCGGGTTGGTGTAAGTCACTGATTATCCCCATATACAAGAAGGGAGACAAGTCTTCCTGTGATAATCACAGAGGGATTAGCTTGACTAATATAGTATCTAAAGTCTTAGGCTCAATAATCATGCGTAGACTGAGTGGTGCTCGGGAAGCACAAACACGAGAGAGCCAGGCAGGCTTTAGACCAGGAAGAGGGTGTATTGATCATATCTTCACCCTCCGACAGATTCTAGAACATAGGCATTCCTACCGGCGTCCAACAGTCATTATATTTCTTGACCTAAAGGCAGCATTCGACTCTGTCGATCGGGAAGTTCTCTGGAGATGCTTGGCTGTAAAGGGAATTCCAAGAAAATATATTGCACTGATTAAGGCACTCTATTCGTACTCATACAGCCAGGTGAGGGCTTACGGCGAGCTGTCATCTGAACTGATGACGACCAGTGGTGTCCGTCAAGGATGCCCATTATCTCCTTTTCTATTCAACTTCATCATAGATGTGTTAATGGACTTAACCCTAGGTGACTTCAGCGACTCAGGGATTGACTTGCTACCGGGGAATAATCTCGTTGACTTGGAATATGCAGACGATATAGTCCTTCTAGGCGAAGACGCTGACGAAATGCAGAGTCTTCTAAACACCTTGAGCCGCAATCTACGAATGTTTGGCATGCGATTCGCTCCCGCCAAATGCAAGATGATGTTACAGGACTGGACTACATCGACGCCTAGTTTAAAAATAGGAAGTGAAGTGGTAGAGCACGTTGACCGCTTCACTTATTTGGGAAGTACCATCAGCCCCAACGGGCTGATCTCTGACGAAATCTCAGCACGAATACAAGGGGCTCGTTTCGCATTTGTTAGTTTACGCCGACTCTGGCGTAGACGAGATGTTCGACTATCGACCAAAGGGCGGGTGTACTGCTCATCAGTCCGCTCCGTCCTCCTTTATGGTTGTGAGACCTGGCCACTGAGAGTGGAAGACATGAAAAGACTAGCTGTCTTTGATCATAGGTGCCTGCGTTCTATTTCCCGTGTAAAGTGGCATAATAAGGTGAGCAACATGGAGGTTAGGCGTAGAGTTCTAGGTAAACAGGGGAAATCAATCGACGAAGTCGTGAAGCTACAAAGACTGAGATGGTTAGGACATGTGTTACGTATGCCAAGCCATCGCCTCCCTCGACGAGCAATGTTAGCGGATATAGGGTCAGGCTGGAAAAAAGCTAGCGGCGGTCAAACAAAAACTTGGCATCAGTCAATGAAATCCACAACAGTTGGTCTAAGCCACGTAGGAAGGTGTAGACTTCCAGGCTGGGGTCCTCGGGACGGTAAAAATCTATGGTTGGAAACAATTGGTGACATGGCTCAAAATCGTTCTCAGTGGCGCAGATGCATCCACTCCTTGTGACTTATGATCTCTAATGAAACTGTTTTGTTTTTCTTTATTACTCCTTTGTCTCACACCTCTGCTCACTGTTTCTATTATGCTTTTCTTGTACTTTCTTCTCTTGCTTCGCGTGCTACACGGAATGTGGCGACTTGAACTTCCGCACATTTGTGCAAAGTTCTATGTCGAAAACAGACAGACAGACAGTGTGCATCTAAGGAGTAGACGTCAATACCTGAGTTACACCACCATTTATTCGATTAACGTAAATCATTATATGGCAATCTTAAATAAATCACAATCGTCGCTAACTTAGGCCAATTTTCTAAAATATCCCTAGTTTAGCTCAATATGAATGATAGAATGTCTTAAGGACTCAAACTACGGAAGGAATCCACCATAAGCAGGTCACACTTTACCGCAATATTAACACCTCGAAAATAGTCTTCACAGATATGCAGTAAAACCAAGTACAGTAAACAGAATTCGCGTATATTAACTTAGGAATGACGACGATTAATTGTCAACGCCATAGTAGTTGATGGCAGTATATGCTATTTAGATTGATATACGACTGACAGCTATGCAGCATGATCGATGCTGGTACGACATCCATTAAAAGTACTTTACAGTCATCACTTTAAATCCTCAATACTGGGACTACGGTCAACTAATATCTATTAACTATGTGAAAATACCTTATTCAGCTTTGACGTCTAATCTATGGACAACAAATTCTTTTAGAACTAATGTATTGCAGCACGCTGAGGTATTAAGTGAGCACTTTACTAACATCAAAGGTTCTATTTACTGAAAGGCTAATAACAGATCACTACCTAGTACCACTTTATTGATGAAATATGGCTTCATAAAGAAAATAAATACGAATGTCAGGCCGAGTAAAAAGAGTTCTCTGTGACCTGACATTTAAAATAACTTCCTTTCGAAACTTAAGTGAAGACGTATCAATCACATATCATCACAGTGTTCCAAAACTCAACCACTATATGGTGACCTGGTCGATTCGTTACGTAGTTGTCACTGGTAACACAAGTTGCGATGTAACTCCGTTTAGAAGCCTTTCATTCCAAACACAGCTGGCACTGATCTACATTATGAACTTTTTTTCAATAGCATTACGTTGTTCACCCAAAAAATAATTGATAATAACTATAAGCAATCTATACTACCTAGACCACCATTCAAAAATGAAGCAGCCTAAATCAATTAGACTCACCTGCGCTTTTGCCACATCTGTTCAATTGCATCAGCCAGTTCACTATTAGAAAGTTCATTGTCATCTTGAAATTTCAGGAAACCATTGCCACCATGACCTTTACTAAATCGTTAATAATAAACCGAAAATTACCTGTCATGTATATTAAGACGTTACTGTGCTCGTCAGTGTTCAGACGCTTAGAAGTGGGCGTCGATGGAGGCAAACGTCCAGTTAGTACACGGATAAAGTTCTCAACGGTAACTTCATAACCACGATAGTCAATTTCTATTTCCTCCCCATATAGATTTACGCGATTGTAAGGGCTATTAAAAATAGTTGCTGAGGGTTTATGCATTATGCGTTATAGATTACCAGGTCTCGGATTTCGTGCGTTACAACTGGCATCATCTGCCACCATAAGGATAATGCGACTTAAAAAGTCAGCTTATTTTAAAAACGCTACCTGTCTGGTATTCCTAGTCGTTTAATACTGCGATAGATGGAAAGAACATTGCTTATGTGTCGATAATTAAACCAAAATCGTGATGTATCAACAAGCACTGCCCAGTTCGACGTATGTCTCCCAATTGAAACACTAATAATAGACTAGAAATGAGAACGAGTACGTTGTTGTTATACCAAGAAAGAGAAGAAAAACAGCGAATAGTATACGTCCCCTCTCATCGCCACCAGCTTTCAGGGTCAGACGAAGAAATTTTGATTCTGCGCCACCTGCTTCATCAACAATTAAGGTCATCTCGTCATTTCATTCGGCGTCAGTCCGCATCCGCATTATTGAAGGCTAGTGATTTCTAATATATTCAGAGAGGGCCTTATAATGCATTCTTGTGTGAGCAGATTCCCAAATCAGTGGTGCTTTTAAACTGTTAGTGACAGTCTGTTAGCCTCTTCCATAAGATTCCAATATCGTTTTTACAAGCTAGTATAAACCAATTTGATTTCTTTCTGCTCACCTCTTGATCGTGAGGTATAGGTTCTTGATCTTCGGTAAACTTCTGTGTGGCTCGTCCCGCCACTCGACTGTCGTAGCTTTGGTTGACTCCATAGGGAGTAGTGCTGGGATTAATTATATGTGGTTTGTAGTGTGAGGTGTGTTAAGACTGTTACTACTGTGAATGGAGTTGATCCTTCCATCAGATACCTGAGGACTAACTGATGAAAGGATCAACTCCATTCACAGTAGTAACAGTCTTAACACACCTCACACTACAAACCACATATAATTAATCCCAGCACTACTCCCTATGGAGTCAACCAAAGCTACGACAGCCAAGTGGCGGGACGAGCTACGCAGAAGTTTACCGAAGATCAGGAATGTATGCCTTAAAATCAAGGTTAGACAAGTGGATAACACTGGGTAAATGAACTATACCGGTTGAGATAAGTGTTCTGACGTATCCTACGTCCCCAGGGGGGTGAGATGACTAGATTGGTGATTGCGAAGAAAACATGTCAGTGTAGTTGAAAATTGAACGATCAATTCATGGTTGGTTGCTCAAACCCAACTTCCCTATATTTTCGCGGAGGCATCAATACACCAGTCATCGTCTCATCGATTGCTGCTAAGAAAGCACGTACAAAACCGTCAGAAACCTTAGTTATTATCCTGCTTATATGTTGGTGTTAGAATAAAGAATTCTCGAGTCGCCAATCGGTGTTCTTGTTTTCGCGTCCGTTAGAGCCAAGCATTTCTGAAACTCTTTGCGGGACAGCAAGAGCTGGGCATTAACGGTTTATGAGACGTGGATGACAGTTTCTGACGGATTTGATCTTCTTTCTGACGTTTGGATAGTCTCCGTCCGTCTCTCCTCGTGCCGGCAAAGTCTTCTCCGAACAAGCGTTACCTGGAATTTCTGGAATTTTGCTTACGTTCAATGATGCCTGGGTCAAAGAAGAGAGAGGCCGTCTTGGAAGCAAACAGGAAAGTAGGTCATGTTGACTTGTCTGTTAATTGTAACGATGTGTCTGATGTTAAACATGACATGGCTGATGTTACTGTTTCGCCGTCTAGGGATAATGGGAATATCAAACTCCCTAAATTTGAACCAAGGTGTTTCGACGGAAACCCAGCTGATTATTTACAGTTTGTAAGAGAATTTAGAATCATGTTAAGTGGTCATTTATCAAATGATAAAATGAAGTTAATGTATTTGATGAGGATGTCAATGGAGTTGAAGAATGAACGATCAATTCTTGGTTGTTTGCTCAAAATCAACTTCCCCAATTTTCGCGGAGGCATCAATACGACAGTCATCGTCTCATCGGTCGCTGTTCAGAAAGAAATCAGTAGCAAACCATCAGAAGTAATCTCGTGATTTATTATTGTAATATTTGTTCACAGACCTTAATAGAAATTTTTTTTATGTTGGTGTTACAATAAATAATTCCCAAGCGGCCAATCGGTGTTTTGGTTTTTTCGTCCGTTATAACTAAGCGTTTCTGAAAAACTGCATTTAACAGCGTGGGCCCGAGCGTAGCAAGAGCTGGGCATTAACGGTTTATGAGACGTGACTGACAGAGTTATTGAACTGGAATTGCTGCAAGAGCTATACAGTGCTGTAAGTTTATGAAGCCAAAGGAGGGCTACGACGAGGCCATGAGCATACTACGTCAAAGGTTTGGAAGACCTTCGATGATTGTAAGGAATGTATTCGAGGCTGTAAAAGGTAATGGTGGTCAATTACAAGATGACTCCAAGGCACTCTCTGACTTTTTGGATAATCTTTTAGCTTACAGGAATACGTTGATTTCGACGAATTGCATGAGTGATCTGAACCCAAGTTCAATCCTGGAGGTAATAGCGAGACGCCTACCTACTCGACTGCAAAGGAAGTGGGTGAAGATAAGCTCCCGTATGGAGGATGAGGGTGTCGAGCCAAAATTTGATGATATCCTGAAACTGGTAAATACTAGTGTCAATCAATCTATGAGCAAGTTCGCCAGTCTATTACATCTCACCCCTAGAATAGAGCAGTCTGAGAGCAAAATGCAATCATTGATGACGAGAGGGCCTCAGAGAGGTGGATATCGAGAAGGCTCCATGATGTCTAGTGATGCATATAGACCTAGTGAGTGTAACAGGTTTCGTAGTACATCCTCAACAGATAAGTTACAAGATGCAAGACAAACACGGTTGTGTTGTACTCGTTTGCAAGAGGTGCATACAGAGGTGAACTGTGAATCAGTGAGCAAGCTCAGTGATAGGCTGAGTGTGAACTCCAGGCCTGACTCCGAATTGTGTGACGATAACGATGTGGTCAAGAAGTCTGTAGTTGCAACTGGTAAGCCATTATTGAATAGTGTCACAGAAGAGAGTTACAGTTTCAGAGAACAGTTCTGACTCCGCATGTTTACAATGTATCACTAGTCAGAGTGAAGGTATTAAACCTTCAAGGATTTGTGAGGAAGAACACAAATCATCTACTTATGTTATTAAAGAGTTTGAAAATGATGAACTTGACGGTAAAGTGAATATTCGTGATATATATATTTCATATAAATTAAGCATTTACATGGTTCACATACCGTTTGTACAGGCATGATCATATTAGACAAGTGCAATCTGAAATTGAACACTGTTTTATGAAATTAAAAATTGGAAAATAACCTCTAGAAACTTTATAAGAATAGAATATAAGATTTTGGTTCAAGTCTAAATTATAATATTTAATATACTCATAGTGAGTCAGGTTCTTGCGGGAATTATGAAATTTTGCGTTAATGGAATGTAAGAAGACAGGTGATATATAGGTGTTTGAGTAAGCCACACTGGATCCAGACCGTTATTATTATCATTTTATCAATCAGTAAGGGTTCGAAAGTGTATAAAAATCCACATTAGATGGTAAGTACAGCATTATATTGGTATTAGCAGATACAAGGGACCAATTGGTCGCAAAGTTAACTTTGCGATGTTAAACAGAATTCAGAATGGAATTTGTTCCGTTGTTCATCGTAAGTGCTAACAATATTCTGGATACCACTCAAATAATACAAATGTAGAAAGCAGGATTACTGTCCATTAGCAGTGCTTCAGTGCAATACCTTCGAGAAGTAAAGAAAACAGAAGCAGCCAGCAGATAATAATAATTTAAGTTACCAATATGCGATAACCGCAGGGTTTATTCTCCTTTTTTATTACTAGGAATTTCTAGTCATTGAGTTTTATAGTGTTACATACTAACAGTTAGTTTAAGTTTATAGTGGTAAACAACAACTGAAGTATAGAATAACAATAAAAAAGTAAGAATTAGGGCGAAACGAATTATGGTTTTCACTCTTATATAGGGTAATGTTGGGAATAGTAACTGAAGAAGTGATATCCAAATGCCAAAGTACTTAGGTTTTAAAAGAAATGAGGAAGTATAGTAATACTGATCTATGCTGTTGTTCTGATTTATACAGTCAGATGTCCTCCTGAAGTAGGGAAATCGTACCATGAGCCATTTTTTCAAAGAGTTTGTACGCAAGCTGTGACATACAGGCAGCATTTATTTTTTATTTCATTTATTATGGTTATTATTTTTTTGACGTAATTCATCCTCAGAAGCCTTAGTAGTAGAGTGCATTCCAACAGATAAGGGCGGCTGTCTTAAGTCTCCACCATCATATCCCCTGAATAGCAGTCACCACACTCCCACCTATGAATCTGCTAGGCCCTGGCGAAATACTCCTTTTTTGTTTTTAGAAAAAATCTTTTATTATTGCTACGTGTCATATGGACAGTTTTTGCATTCACAAGCTAACTCAACGATACTCATGGTATGAACGACTACTTTCAGTTAGTCATTTTGTATGCATCGTCACTAACAGCTTTTTAAAGATGTCTACATACAATGAAGAAGTAAGGGAATCAGAGATTTGCAGGCTACTTTCAAGATTTCAGTTATGAGCATAGCAACGAAGAGGAAATATGAAATGTTACGAAGAAGAAAAATACATAAAGCTACATGGTTATGTATATATCTACATAAAAAGAGAGTAGTCAGTCATAAAATATACTTCAGAAGAATACGACTACAGAGTGTTATGATAGCAAAACAGTAAAATAAAATCCGTTGATACTTAGGATTTAGACGTTTGAAAGTGTGGTGAGAGCAGACTGCTAGTCAATTGGTACGCATTAATCGACGCTGATTGGTAGATATTAATCTAGGCTGATTCAACAACCAATCACAGCAGACGTAAATATGATTCGCAGATAAATGGCTCTACTTTCCGAGAAATATCGAGAACAACCAATCAGAAGATTGTGTTTGTCTTCCGAGAAACAACCATTTAGAAGACTGCCTTTTTCTGCTTGCATAAGCCGTATTAATGTACATAAAATATACATAAATACGCGTTGATTTTCGTAATAAAAGGATCTGTTGTCTGGCCCTTGTCGTCTGTTGTTACATCTGGTGTCGCTGCCTCCAGAAAAGTGAAGATCCTGTGGCCAACTGCGTTTGAAGAAGGAGACATACGGAGCTTCTTACGTGACTTTGAGGCCGTCGCAGTGTAGACAGGTCAAATGGCACAGTGTCTTGGAGGAAATTGGTTGAAAGTTTGGTGTCGGAGTTTAACAGCACAACAGACAGACAGCTAGTGATGGAGCATTTCCGGTCAACGAAGCTGGGACCTGATGGAGACCCGTTAGTATTGGCGGTGAAGCTGTCGACGGT